CTTTCCCTAAAGGAACTTCTTGTGGAAGAGATGGCTTGAGGGCTCAACACTTCCTGGATGCCCTTTGTGGAGAAGGGTCTACTATAGCCACAAATCACATACATGCTATCCGTTCGTTGGTTAATTTATGGTTAGCGGGAAGATGTACGACCATTTTGGCAGAGTTTATTGCATCCGCTCCTCTCACGCCTCTGCTCAAACTTGACAACGAGATCCGTCCAATGCAGTACGCACTATATGGAGTCGTCTGGTTTCCAAGGTTGCCATGAGAGGCGTGGGTAAAGAAATGGCCAAGTACCTTAATGATTTTCAGTTTTGGGTTGGTGTGTCCGGGGGTGCTGAGGCTGTGTTACACAATACCAATAGGGTGTTAAGTGAACACCATGCTGATGGGTCTCTTGCAATGCTAACAGTGAATTTCTCGAACAACTTTAACCTGGTGGATGGATCAGAATTGCTCCATGAGGTTAAGAGGATGCGCCCTTTTATTTCTTTGTGGGTGAATTTCTTGTATGGGCAAGCTGCTAGACTTTATATCGGAGACCAACATATATAGCCTGCCACTAAGGTGCAACAAGGCAATCCCTTGGGCCCTCTTCTTTTTGCCCTCGTTTTGCACCCGCTTGTGCACAAGATTATAGACAATTGTAAGCTCCTTCTCCATGCTTGGTATCTAGATGATGGGACTGTCATTGGGGATTCAGAGGAGGTGGCTAGAGTGTTGGACATTATTCGGGTGAATGGTCTAGGTTTGGTCTTGAGTTGAACATCAAGAAAACGGAGATTTTTTGGCCTTCCTGTGATGGTAGGAAGCTTCGTGCTGATTTATTCCTAACGGACATAGGGAGACTTCTTTTGGGGGTAAATGTGACACCCGATTCCTGGTACGCATCTAATTCAAGCATTCTTATGTTTTTCTTTGGGACTTGACGAGTTAGATGCCCAACTCGTCGAGTAGAGTCGAGATCCGCGGACAGTTTAAGTGACCTACTCGACGAGTTGGGAGATTGACTCGGCTAGTAGGTGTTGTTTGAGTGAAACCCTAAATTTGAGGGTTTGCACCCTATTTAAACACCTTATCTTAGCCTCCATCGTCCCTATCACTTCCAGAAAGTTGTATATCAAAACCCTAGCCATTTTTTTTGTGTCCTAAAGCCATTTTGGTGCATTTGATGGATTGTGATGCTTGAGAAGAAGAAAGAAACTTGAGAGTTCGAGTTGGGGCTTGGAGATCCAGAGATTTTGGTCTATTTCCAACTCAATCTAGGTAAAATGCCCCTGTCTTGGTCTTCTATGCGTTTATTCATCCTTAGGGCTTGGATTTTGGGTACCTTTAGGGCTTTCCAAACGATTTTCGGATGTGTGAAGTGTTATGTGGAGTCTTGACTTCAGATCTGAGTCATTGGAGGGGTCTCATGGAATAAAGGTGACAACTCTATGGCCATGAGAGCCCCATGCATCTTGTAGAACACCTTTTATGGCTTTTTGAGCCAAAGATCCCATGCATGTGCACCAAGGTTGGAACTTTACGTGTAAAATGGACATTAGGAGGCCAGATCTATGATTTTGATGTGTTAAGACCAAAGTTCTAAAAAGCTCGCCATGGCACGCCAAGGCTCCAAGGATTGTATGTGTTGCCAAGCTTTTCCAAAACGCCGCCTTGACTTATATATGTGAATAAAAATAAATAATAGTTGAAAATACATATAAAAATATGAATTATATACAAAATTGTCGCCTTAAGTCACGTCTTACAAATGACGTGACTCGCTAAGGCTCGGAAAAGCTTGAGGCTTAACATTGCCGCCAAGTCACGCCTTACGTTATTTAGAACCATGGTTAAGACCCATTTAAATCAACTGTATAGTAATGATCAAGGATGGACTCGACGATTCGGGGTGTAATGACCACCAAATCCTTTCTGTCGATGGACCAGATGATAGTGTGGAAGGTTCCTCAGTTGTTTAGGCTCATAAGGGACCTGGGAATCATGGGACTTGACGAGTGTTTGAGCAAACTCGGCGAGTCCAAGACAATCTCCCAATCTTTGAAGATGAACTCAACGAGTTGTTCATACAACTCGGCGAGTCATAAACTGCACGCATTCATATGCTAAAGATGAACTCGACGAGTTCAAGAAAGAACTCGTCGAGTCGGTTGAAGATTGACTAAAGTGTTATTGAAGGTGAACTCGTCGAGCTCTTGCTAGACTCGACGAGTGGGGACGGGTTTGTAGTATTATGTGGACGAGGGGACTCGGGGAGTTGGCGGACCAACTCGGTGAGTCTGGTCAACCAAAGAGTTGACCTGACCTGGGTTTGACTTTGAATTGGATTCAAGATTGACCCTTGTAGGGGTTGTGAATACAAATTGATAACTTAGCAAGGTTGTCGTGTAGGGATTGAGGAGTCTAGGGGAGCCGACTTTCACACCGAGGACAATACAAACACTACATGACATCGAAGTGAGTTACCTTCCAGTAGGGGTGGGTCTAAGGCTACAATGTCGACCCACCAACAAGAGTAATTACTAGATAATTGTCTTCATGATAATTATATTGGTATGCTTATGAGATATGCTTATGTGTTATGATTATGTGTTATGATTATGTGTTATGCTTATGAGATATGCTTATGCGATATGCTATGTGAGTTAGTGGTAGTAGCAGGGAATAGCTTTTCCCTGACTCGGTCGTTAGGATCGAAGGGTAAGTCAGTACCCCAGATATGCATGACCGTGTGATTATATTTTGTTATTGTATGATAGAGGTAGGGGTGAAATAGTCCCTGTTGCCGGTTGAGATAGACCGTAGGGTAGTCGGCACCCCATAATGGCTTGACATGGGTAGGTCAGCACCCCATAATGGCTTGACATGGGTAGGTCGGGCACTCCAGAATTGCCCGACAGTATGTATGGTATGTGGTATGATGGGGGAACTCACTAAGATTTGTGCTTACAGTTTTAGTTTTGGTTTCAGGTACCTCTTCATCCAAGGGGAAGGAGTTGGCGGCGTAGCAGCGCATCACACACACACATGATTTATACAAAGAGTCTGATTTTCATAACTTTGATGACATGGTTTTCAAACACGTTGTTATGTTTTATTTGTAAATTGTTATGACAATGGCAATATTTGGTAAACTATATTATGTATATCTTAATTAAAAATGAAATTTTTGGCCTAAAAAATTGGGATGTTATAGTGAAGCTCCTTGGGGGGGAGGGGAGGGGGCTGTTAGCAGAGACGCAGGGTTTATTAGTGGGCTGGCCATGAAGAGAGCAGTCAATGTTGTTGATTTGATGGGTCTTCTTCTACAACTATATGACCCGCAAAGTGAGCTCCTTTTGCTTTGATCATGTATGGGCATTGCAAAACTTTTCTTTGGTTTAAGGACATGCCAGCCAGTGCACATAGAAGAGGCAACTTTGTTCTTTGACAAAGGATTGCACAGGTCTATTGAGGATATGGTGGTATGTGGAGGCCTCTTCTTTGGAGACATTCAGCGGCGTCAGGCTTCCTTACCTATTCGATTCGGTGGTTTGGATTTGTACTCGGCATACGAGGTTTCCTCCTACGTATTTGTAGCCTCGAGGGACAATTTTGAGCATAACAAGACCACATCTTACATGACAGTGACATATGTTGTATGGACTATAATTACCTATGTGTTATGCCTCGTCTTCGTGATACGATTACGGGATTTGACTGTAGAGGTTTCACTAATAAGGACACCGCCCCCTAAATCCCAAAAAGCATTGGCGTGTGCCAGTTTTAGCAAAATCGTCAAAGATATGGAAGTTGACTTCGACATGACTGTTAGATAGAAACCAGTTTTTGAGTGTCTTCGGGCACCTCATGCTTACGATTTTCTGCTAACTATCCCTATTGACGGCCTTGGCCAACATATGTCTCCTGTGGAGTACTGAACTATCATTCGTTACCGCGTCATGATTCCTCTATTCTTAATTGACAAGATATGACCAGTTTGCCTCAAGACATGTTTGGACACCTTTGGGGAACATGCAGTTAATTGTAGAGAACTGGTTTCAAGTACAGACATGATGTGGTTAGGGATGTTCTATTTGATGCTTGTCGGCATGCTGATATTTTTGCGAAGAAAGAAGCGCCCGTGAACTTTTTGACGGACTCGCATGATTGAAGATCCACACTTAGACCGGTTGATATTTTGGTCTTTGGATGATTAGGATGGAAGCACACGTGTGTGGATCTTATTAGGGTCTATCCTCTCGTCGGTTTGAGGAGCGGGAGTTTCACAACAGGGCATGCCGCTTTGAAAGCCGCTGCGTGCAAAGTAGCAAAATACGAGAATGCATGTATAAGAAATCAACATGTGTTTGTACCTTTTGCACTTGATACATTTGATTTTTCTCGCACCAGAGGCGGTGAAGCTCCTCAACAAAGTCTAATAAGTCATTCATTCTAATATCATATATTTTAGATTAACAGATGTTGTTTCCAAAAGAATTAATTTTGTCATTCAGAAAAGCTAGCGGCGCAGCTTGTTGACCGTTTGCCTTCCATTGATATGTATTTAACTATATTATTCACAATGAAGAATCAAATTACATCGATAAAAAAAAATCCACCAATAGGAAGAGGAGAGAAGGTGCAGCAGCTAGTTCCTTCACATCTTCTCCGCACAACCATTCCCGCATCGCCGATGTTGTGTTCCGGTGTGCAAGAAAGCCTCCCTTAACGCCACCCCGTTGCATTCCGTTGGGTCTAACTAGTTGCCAATTTCCTTTTTTTTTTGTCATGACATGTTACATGACAATGTAATAACTAGTTGTCGACTGAAAATTAATTTCGAAACTAAACGACTTTTCACGTTTGCTTTGCTTACACGCCACGTAATCACGTATATACGGCCTCATCGGCTATATATACATACTAAAACACGCAGATACCTTTACCTTTAATAAATCAGATCAAAAAAGCTAGGGTTTTATCGAACGCAGATACTAAATCCACAGTCGTCATGCCGAAGAACAAGGGAAAGGGAGGCAAAAACCGCAAGAGAGGAAAGAACGAAGCCGACGACGAGAAGCGTGAGCTCGTATTCAAGGAAGACGGTCAGGAGTATGCCCAGGTGCTCCGTATGCTCGGAAACGGCCGTTGTGAGTCCATGTGTATTGACGGCACTAAGCGTCTCAGCCATATCCGTGGTAAGATGCACAAGAAGGTCTGGATCGCAGCTGGAGATATCATCCTTGTTGGGCTTCGTGATTACCAAGACGATAAGGCGGATGTCATCCTTAAGTATATGCCGGATGAGGCAAGGTTGTTGAAGGCGTACGGTGAGTTGCCGGAGAATATAAGGCTTAATGAGGGTATTGTTGGTGGACTTGACGACGAAGAGGATGGCGCTGGTGATGATTATATCGAGTTTGAAGACGAAGACATCGACAAAATCTAGGGTTTGTAATTCATCCGTTTCTCTTACGATACGAATTCCAGTTTTTGCTTGATTATTGAGACTGCTTAAATAGGGTGTTTTTAATGATCCCCTTTCGATCTGAATCCCGTGTCCGTGAGGTCTGTGTATTTACAAAAAGACTTCTTCTACACAACAAAATTAAATACATACATGCTCAGATAAAAATACAACTTTTTTCTACAAAATTAATTTCTCAATCGGATGCCTAATTTATTTACACAAAGTATTGTTGTCTAATTTCTGAATTCTGGCTTCCGCAGTTTTCAAATTGTGATGGAATGAACAAAATTGAGTCTGAGGGGAGTTGGGAAAAATTGATGGTTTGTAAGAAGACCTTTTCACCTCGTTTAATCTAATTTGTAAGATTTAAGTTTTGTTGAAGATTATATGGAACGTTTCTCTTCTGTAATGCTACTTTAGAGGGGCAATTTTATGCCTTATGATGTGAGTTGGTTGGGGAGCAATATTATCTTGTCTATGACAAACTCTACTCTATGTGAAAATCATAATTGTTGAATGTTGAAGCATTTTGACATAAAATTATCAGATGCTTCTCTTAAAATGACTAGTAGTATTATGTTGCGTTTAATCGGTTGTAAAAGCAACCAGAGTGGATAGATTGATATAATTTTTTTTGAAGCATTTTGACATTAAATTAATTATCAGATGCTTCTCTTAAAATGACTAGTATTATGCTTCTCTTGTTCCTTCCTTCCATCTCTCTTTCTCTTAATCGTTTCAAGCACACGCAATAAGCATATTGATATGAGTGGGTGGGTACCTCTTCCCTTTCTTGAAAGCATGTCTGTTAAAGCAATCGTGGTGACTATAGTTCAAGGGCGCATAGCTTTCTGATTCTATAGCATTTTGCTCGACCACTGCAATCTCAACACTACCAATTATGTATAAAGTTTCTCGCATGATCAAAGATTAAGGCAGGCAGGGTATGGTCACTATATGCCTATTAGAAAAGTGACGTCGACACTCAACACAACATTATCTTCACATCCCTTCTACCAGATTACAAAACTTTAGAAATGATCACAATTCCACATCATCAATGCTTATTTATTTATTTATTTTATAAATTATCATTTAACCCATGCTACCAAAAACCAATAGCAACCAAGAAATAAAGTTTAAACATCATTTTTTTATTTTTTTTTCTCGGGAATCTAGTAGTCTAGAATTGTTTAGGTCAATTAAACCAGGTTTAACCCACATAAAAATTAGTCCAATAGAAGTGTTTGTAGCCCACTTAAAGCCCAACCTTTTGATTATGTGCCTTATTTTCAGTTTTCTTTCTTTCCCATTTGCCGCCACACAAGAAATTGCACACACACACACACATGTGTGTGTCCTTTTTCTTCTTCTTTGTCCGAAAATTTGTAGGTTCTGGTTCTGGTTTGTAGTCACCAACCTTGTGAGGAGTATCATTAAATTCCTTGATGATATATATCACCACTAGCAAAAAAATTCTTTCACAGCACCAACAACAGACCACGTAGCTTAGCAGAGTAGAGTACCCAGGAGCCTTGTCATCTTCAATGTCAAAAAGGGCATCCACATCCTTAATTTCTTCATTTGTGACAATCTTAACTTTTTAACAAGAAGACTGGATTTGGAAGATCAATAGCAGAGTAAGGCTGTTCAGATCCAAGGAAAAGCTTAAACTACTTAACAAACTCATTGCAAGCATCTTCACCTTCTAACCAATTGCCAATAGAATCCAACAGACTCAATTCTGTTTTTCTTCGTTTTCCTTTTTAACAATCACCCTTCAACCAATTGATTTTCACCTTTTGTTTCAAAAAAACATTCTTCTTTAAAATAAGCTTTATTCAAATGTTTTAAACAAGCAGCAGCTAACTGAACATTTAAAGGATCACCATCAAGTTTCAACTGAATAGCATCCAGCCCTTATGAGAAAAGCGACCTTGGTTCCATAAAAGTTTGCAAATTGTTTTTTTTTTGAGAATTTTAAGCATTTGAGCAAAGTGAAACATACATTTTGATCCACCTTATTCCACAACTTTTCCACCATTTGAGCAAAGAGTAAGGACATTGGAGAATTTAAAGGGTTTCTTTTGGTTTTTTATTTGGAATAAAGGAGTTAATAAAAACAGAGAGAGGCTGGTGTGAAAATGATTATAGAGGGCAATATGGTCTGCTTTTTTTTTTTTTAATGGTACCTGTTTCAAATATTATATGTGAAGTTTCGAGGTTATTGTTGGCCGAGGGTTTATTGGAAAATTCTAAATAAGGGAAATAATTGGAGCTGGTACAGGAAATAATTTTTTTTTTCTTCATAATTTGCGATTGGGCTCAATGGTAGACACGTGGATATAAGGATGCGGTTTGATTTCTTATGGGTCTGGTGCAGCATTTTGTTTTCAATTATTTCTTGTATAAAATTATTTTGTTAGCCCTTGAAGATAATGGATAAGGTGAAGATAATGGAGAGCGATGGCTTAAAGATTATAGAAATGGCAATGTTCTTTTGTTGATAAAGAAAAAAGATGAGGGAAAAAGGAAAGTTGGTTGCTAAAAATGGGTGCTTTTGGAGTTGGATAATTTCTTGTCTTGATTTTTGTAGATTAATTACTTTGAAGAATTTTGATGATTCTCAAGATTTATTTGGGCCGATTATGCTTAGAGTTTATGGTTTTATCATTCAAGCTTTGGTTATTATTATAGAGTATGAATCCAATTTTGCTTTATGTTTCCATATGAGCTTGTTGATTTCTAAAGTTTTTCAAGTCAGGAAGAAAAGATGGAGGTTGCGTTTTTTGAAGCATGGAAAAATTGAAGACATAAAAGTGGATTATTTTTGGCTATGGAATTGGTTGGTGGTTCATAAAAGTGGGGCCATAAGATATGTTTCACTTGCCTAAAATAGTTAAATGGCCATCTATTTTATTTTTACTTTACTACTCATGTTCCCATCCATCATCACAATCTCTTCTTTCATTTACAGCCATCATCTCTGCACTAATCTCCAACAATTTTTTTTTTTTTTTTTTTTTTCCAAAAAATGGTCATAGAATATGTTTTACACATGCATTTAAAAAAAATAAGATATAATGTAAATGTAATAAGAATGAGACTATGACATCTCAGTTATGATACGTTCACACTTATCGTCCAAGACCTGCACAACTTTAGTAAATAGCACCTCCGGTGGCAATGCTCTTGTCGATTCTACTGTAACCGAACCACAAAATAAAAATTAAAATAATAATCATTAATATAATATAATCAAAGTAGAATGCTATTTGTTGCACTTATAGATAAAATGATCTTTGACACGTCGAAGTGTCATCTTTCCTCCCATCCAGGCTCCCTAATGCATTCCCTACAAAGAGTACAAGGCCTTGGTCCAATCCAAGGTTCTAAAAAGTTCGTTATGGCTCAAAGGCTTGTATCTGTCGTCAAACTTTACCAAAACGCCGCCTTAAAACATATATGTGTATAAAATAGAATAATTGTTGAAAATACATATAAAAATATTAATTATATACAAAATTGTCGCTTTAAGTCACGCCTTACAAACGACATGTCTCGCCAAGGCTCGGAAAAACTTGAGGCTTGACATTGCCGCCAAGTCACGTCTTATGTTATTTAGAACTCTGGTCCAGTCACAGTTGCCCTCTTCTTACCTGTCCCATCATTTCAACAATTACAATCAAGGGAAAATGTCATTGTAGCCCCACGGACTTACATATTTTGGTTTAAAAGGTCATTTATGTTATTTTTTTAGCTTTATAAGGGCATGAATTAACATTTAATCGGCTAATTTGGGATTTTTACCCAATTCAACCGGTTTCCTTGCCTAGTCATCATCCAACTAAGTTAGCGAGTCAACTCACCCGACTCGGATTACACATCAATGACTCACGACCGAGTCGGCTTGCTTGGGCCCTAAGGGTTCAATGGCCCCCTACTATATAATTGAAGGGTTTGTTGGACAAAAACCCTAAACTTTTGTTACCACTTCTGGCCAAACACTAGCTGACAACCGATAATACAATACTCGCTTTGCCCTTCACAGTCTTCCATGGATCCTACCCCACCACCATCACCAGATACTATAAACTCTGATAACTCGATAAGCTCAACAGACAGGCTTAACTTGAACGATTTGCACACGATCTTCTATGATTGTTGTGAAAAGATAGCTGAGCAAAAAGGTCAGGTGGAGCGTATGAAGGAGGAGATGGGTCGCGATTACCTTCATTCTAGGGTGGATGTCCTTAACATGTAGCAAAGGTTCGAAAATGTTAAGAAGCAGATTAAAGCAATTGCACTGTTGGTTGTGGGTGTTGTCGTCATGATGCTCCTGCTAATGATTTTCATCGTTCACTTGATAATCTACAAGCAAATCTCATGGAAGTGGTTTGCAGTGGTATGATAATATGGTGCCCATAATCTATTGGTAGGTTTAATGGTTTTTTTTGTCATATATGTTATTAGGATTATGTGTGCTCGTTTTTGTTAGTGGTAATCCAGTTTGTGTAGGTAGTGGTACTCTAGTGGTGGTTGTAATGGTAATTTATGGATGTATTTTGAAGTCTTGCTTACCTATAACAAGCGTTTTGGTATGATCTTGATGAAATCTAAATGGATTGAATATGTTATAATTTGTTGCGTTCATTGTTGTTGATTAAGGGTAACGATTTGGTTGCCTTATTTAATGATAATTAATTGTGTTTGGTACACCAACTATGACAGATGTGCATGAGGTCAAACAAAGGGGTATTTTCATCATTTCCTCTTTATAAGTGCTTTACTTCCTTACTCGGCAGTAGCTTTCTTTTTCCCTGTTATTGTTTGCATTTTGAAGCAAAGAGCTCGCGTAATTAACGAAGCAAAAATAGTGGAATGCTCGTGTGGATGTTTCGCCATAATAAGAATGTCTTCCACTCCTTCCAACCCTGGAAGACCCTTCTATGCTTGCCCCACTAAGGTGTGTGTTAGTTTGTTTATTAGGCGCATGTAGCCCTAGTTTGTTAGTTTGTTCCATTCTCATGTTCTCACTCGAAAATTGATTTTGTTAGGGACCTCGTAATGGTATTATTTGTTGGGTAGAAGAAGCAGACACTAAGAATATGAGTGTTGAAGCAATTATGATTGCAGGTTTCGCTAGGTCAAAAAGAAGCTTGAATCAAAGATGTAACATCCCAAAAATCGAGACCAAAGTTTTTTTTAATTATATTACTTGTAAAATTATTTGAGGAAAAACATTACCGATATCACATCAAACCACAAAACCATAGTTACATGTCTCAAAACCAAAATGTCAAATAGTATAATGTCAGAGTACAATCATAGGGTTTTCAAATGCGGAATCATGTGTGTGCGATGCGCTGCTACCCTACCGGATCCTTCCCCTTAGATGAAGAGGTACCTGAAACCAAAACTGAAAACCGTAAACACAAAGCTTCGTGAGTTCCCTCATCATACCACATACCAAATAATAGTGCATATTCCTCGGTATCTTTCAACTGGTAGCCGGGAACTAAACCCCCATTCAGTATCTTTCAACCAGTAACCGAGAGCTAACCTCTCCTTTGGTATCCTTCAACCGGTAACCAGGAGCTAACCTCCCCCTCGGTATCTTTCAACCAGTAACGGGTGACTATTTCACCCCTACCGCTATCACATGATAATGTAACATGATGATACTGCTAGGCATGCATGGGTACTATCCACCCCTTCGATATCTTTCAACCGGTAACCGGGGACTATCCCACCCATACCAATACTACACATATATCATAGCATCCTAGCACATAACATAACAGATTCAACATACCAGACGATTATCACAAAGACAATCATCTTTACTATTTACCCCTGCTAATAGGCCGGCCTTGGTGCCTTAGACCCATTTCTACTAGAAGGTAACTCACCTCGATGTCGTGTAGTGTCTGAACTGTCCTCGGTATGGAAATCAACTATTCTCGACTCCTCAATCCCTACACAACATCCCCTCTACATTACTATTTCATACTCATAACCCTTACAAGGGTTACTCAAATCCAAGTCAAACTCAAGGTCAAAACCCTGGTCAAAGTCAATGTAGCACCTGGTTCCTGGTATGTATTCTTGATTATTAACTCTCCTTATGTATTGTATTTTAATCTTGGACTCGGCGAGTTGAAGGACTAACTCGCCGAGTAGAAGCAGGTCTAGACACGGGATCAGTTCTGTCTACTCGGCGAGTAGGCCCGTGGGACTCGGCGAGTAGACCTTGTCTGGACTAAAACCCTAACACGGGTGTTTGCACCCTATTTAAACGATCTAACCCAGCCTCCATTTCCCCTAGCACTCACAGAGGTCTGTAGAACGAAACCCTAACCCTTTGTGTCCTTGTGGGTGATCTTTTTAGCATTGTGAAGGTGGTTTGGAGCTTGGGAGAAGAAGGAGAAGGTTGAGGAGTGCAAGAAGAGAAGAAGATCCGGAATCTACTCTGTGAGGGGATTCTATTTAGGTAGAAAAGTTCTTACCTTGATCTTTAGTTCATTAAACCCCCCTCTTGTCCCTAAAAAGAGGTTTTAAGCCCTAAGAACCCAAATCTCTATGTGTTTATGGTTAATGTTCTGCAAGGAATTCGGATTTGGACCTTTAGGACATCCTAGTAGCATAAAGTCTCTGTGGTTGAAGTGATTGAGGTCCCTATTGAGTGTAGGACCTCTTAAAGAGCTTGAAATTGCATGTTTGAGCTCATTAGGTCGTGCATGCACGCAAAGTTTGCAACTTTACGTGGTAAACATGCCCTAGGACCATAGATCTGTGGTTTTGAAGCATTGCATGTCTCAGATCTGGCCTACTTGGGAAATGGGTCGAGGAACTCGGCGAGTTCTATGAAGATGGTCTTAGACTCGGCCAATTGGATGAACAACTCGGCGAGTCCTATGAAGAATGCCAGGAGCTCGTCGAGTTGTTCTTCAAACTCTGCGAGTCGGTACTCGAGTCGGCCCCATAGTCCCGAGTGGTGAGTCGAGGGTGACTCAGTGAGTGGGGAGAGGGACTTGGCGAGTAGGACCGGATTAGTAAAGGAAGGACTCGACGAGTTGCTCGCAGAGTCGGTGAGTCCAGTCAACTGGAAGTTGACTTTGACTTGGATTTCGACTTGGTTAAGGGTAAAAGGGTCATTTTACCCTAAGTACATCTAGCAGTGTTTGACTGATTGTTTTGTGGGAATTATAGCCGGAGGGCGTCCGCAGCAGCAGTAGACAATCAGTTTCCGATCAGATCAGCATCTACTTTGAGGTGAGTTACCTTCTAGCAGCGGTGGGTCTACGGCCACAATGTCGGCGCACCAGTAGGAGTCGTTTGTAGATGATTGTTTCTGTGATACTCATCTAAGGGATTACTACTACCTGTGTTGTATTTATGTGCTAGTGACAGTAGGGGGATATAGTCCCCAAGATATCCGGTTGGTAGGGCCGAAGGGGTAGTCATACCCAACCATGTTAGATAGATTCTGATATTGTGATACATGTTATGTGGTAGTAGTAGAGGGGAGAAATAGTCTCCCCAGTATCCGGTCGAGAGGACTGAAGGGGAGGTTAGCACCCAGATATGCTAGGCAATATCTGGTCGAGAGGACCGAAGGGGAGGCCAGCACCCAGGTATGCTAGGCAGTATCCGGTCGAGAGGACCGAAGGGGTAGGTCGGGCACCCATATATGCCTGGCAATTTATGTATGTATGTGATTATATGGTATGTGGTACAGTGGGGGAACTCACTAAGCTTCGTGCTTACAGTTTTCAGTTTTGGTTTCAGGTACCTCTTCAGCTAAGGGGAAGGAGCCGGCGCGGTAGCAACATATCACACACACTCTTGTTTCCGTAGTTATGAGTTATTTCTAGGATTGATACTCTGATATTTTGGTTGTTTACATGTTGTGGATTTCAAATTTGGGTTTTCAATGTGAAATGGTTTAATTAAACAATGTTTTAATCATTAGTGTTTTCTAAGTAAGATTTTAAAAACGAAATTTCTGGACGGGAAAATTGGGACGTTACAGTCAACTTTGGTCAAAGTCAACATTTGGTTGACTAGACTCACCGAGTTGGTTCACCAAATCGTCGAGTCCCCTCGTCCATGAAAAGCTACAACTTCATCCCTACTCGTCGAGTCTAGAAAGAGCTCAACGAGTTAGCCTTCAGCGACACATCAAACGTTCTTCAACCGACTCGTCGAGTTCATCCTTGAACTCGTCGAGTTCATCTTCATCCTTATGAAGGAGTTCAGTCTATGGCTCACCGAGTTCCCATTGAACTCGTCGAATTTGTCTTCATGAGGTTTGGACATTGCTTAGAACTCGCCGAGTCCGCTCATGCACTCGCTGAGTTCCATGGTTTCTAGGTCCCCAATGAACCTAGAAAACTGAGTGTTGTTTTATCTTAGCATACGGTCCATCAACAGAAGGATTTGATGGCAAATACAACCCGAATCGCCGAGTCCCATGAACAACTCGACGAGTCCCTCTTTGTCCAAAACTATACAATCAATTTCAGTGGGTCTCAAAGCATTTTAACCATAGATCTGAACTCCTAGGGTCCATAATACATGTAAAGTTACAAACTTTACGTCCATACATGGGCCATTTAGCTCAAAAGGCCCTAAAATGGAATCTTCAAGATGCATGGGGCTCCCATGGTAGTAAAGGTTGTACCTTTATGCCATGAGAACCCTCCTAGGTTCCAGATCTGAAGTTATTTCTCTACATAATTACCCAAACCCGAAGGTAACTTAGTGACAAGATTCAATCCCTAAAGAGGATCTAACAAATGGAAAGCTAAGGTTAAAGCTTTTTACCTCAAATGAGCTGGAAATGAAACATAACCTCTGGATCTACTGACTTCAACTTGAACTCCCAAGCTCCTTCTTCCTTCTCAAGCTTGACAACCACCAAAATGCACAAAATGGACTTGTAGAGTATGGGATTCTTTGAGTGTTTATGGTGATTTGAAACTATTCATTTTCAGTATGGTGGTCACTCGAGGAGATTCTGTTGATGGTTTTGGTTTAGGTTCGGGCTCTAGGACCGAACCGCTTGATGAACAGAATGGAGAGTTCAGCTTTTCTGAGATTACCTGCATTATTTTGGAGCAGACTCATATAATCTTTGGTACAATCAAGGAGGGCATTATGGAGATTCTGGATAAGCATCCAAGCACATTCCGTACTGAGATGGTGGTTATTGTAGGTGCACGCTCTCTAATTTTTTGAGAGTTTCGTGCATGTTGGGCT